CCGTCGAATTTCCATTATATTGCAATATTTCTGGCATTCCGGAGGGATATATCTTCGCAGCGTAACATCAAGAGCTACTATTGATGAGCATTGTTGGCATGGACGAAGTGCAATACTATATTAGAGATAAAAATGGGTTCACTCCTTAACATGCGAAAATGCAACTATGGCCACCCTAATTTGCGATACGATTCAACTATCGGCCCCGATTTTAGATTATATGATAAAGGTTCATCTCGCTGGGAGGGATTTCTTATGTCGGGATTGGCCAAGGGATGGTTAATTTGTGAGAGTACGAATAACAAGAAGATTAATACTAGTACATATTATTATCTCTTATCTATCAATTGGTCAAGACTCAAGTGAGTAAGAAATTAGAATTCCGGAGTTGGGAAGGAGTGGAGAGTGTACTCTAGGTTCTGAGGGTTATTTTTCAGCTAATTTAGGTGTATAATTACGCTACCATAAAAAGTTTCATGGCGTTTCATATCGAGCAGTGAGATAGAATGCGATATTTTAATGTTTTTAAAACTAACGACTACAGTTTGATAAAGTACAACGGACGTGGCGCCCACTCATAAGCGCACGATCTGATAAGTTGCGCAAAACCACTTTCCAGCCAAGGGCTACAGACCGAGGGTGTTTCTTATTTATGCATTTAAAAGCAAAAGGATTGTAATATCTTATAAACGACATATAGTTTCAGTTATAATATGGATAAATTTGCCCTAAAGTGAATATCGTTCGGTTAAATAGCATTTAGATATAAATATAATTGCACTTTTGTGGTTAGCCCTCGGTCTGTAACGTGCAAAATAAATTGTCAAATACGCAACTTTTTCGGGGTGGCAGCACGGTCGCGGGTGTCATGGCGCCGTTCAAATTTCGTAGCGTTGATGTGTAATTAATTATAAAAATTAAATTAGGTATCTGGTAACAAATACGTGCGGGTATAGACGATTTGTTATACAGTAAGTACAGTTGTATGCAGTAAAATATTAGAGGCTACTGTCCCTTTAGTATTAGGATCTTTGTATTAGGAGACTTTAAAATGCAAAATTGCCAGTATTGAATTAGAAAAAACATTCCACGGGATGGGAATAATAGCTATAGTATAAAGTAGATTAGAAAAAAATCGTTCAAAATGTGAAAAAAGTATGAAAATTAGTACACTTGCATACTTTTGTATGCTCTTTAATTTAAAGACAGGACACACGCGATCCAATTACAACTTCGGCCACAATCTTGAATTCTAAATGGCCGCCATCATTTCTTAAAAAATAGCTATATCTCGGTTAATAATCTTCGTACAGACTTGAAAATTTACTGACAGACGTAATTTGGGTTACTATTTCATACAACAACGTGATACATGTGATCCAAGGGCGTTTTCGGCCACCATCTTAAATTCAAAATGGCCGCCGTCATTTCAAATAGCTATATCTCGGTTAATAATCTTCGTACAGACTTGAAAATTTACTGACAGACGTAATTTGGGTTACTATTTCTTACAACAACGTGATGCATGTGATCCAAGGGCGTTTTCGGCCACCATCTTGAATTCAAAATGGCAGCCGTCATTTCTTAAAAAATAGCTATATCTCGGTTAATAATCTTCGTACAGACTTGAAAATTTACTGACAGACGTAATTTTGGTTACTATTTCATACAACAACGTGATGCATGTGATCCAAGGGCGTTTTCGGCCACCATCTTGGATTCAAAATGGTCGCCATAAAAATTACAAACTTAGCAATATTTCCGTTTACGGAAGATATAGAGACGTGAAAATTTGCAGACTAGCGCAGGTTAATACCCAGCCGGCCAAGTCGACACGTGCCGTATCCAACACGCGTTGGAAACGATGGAAACAGTATACGTAAGGCTCAAGTAACTTTTGGCACTTTTGTGGTATCTTGGCAGTCGCCGACCCCCTCGGTCTGTAAGTGGCAAATAAAAATTGTCAAATACGGCTGCCCATCAGATGACCAATATGCTACCAGGTCAGCTCATCTCAGTGTGGACCCCGCCGCGAGGCAACTGTGGCTGTAGAAAAAATGGTCACCCGACTTTGAAGTTTTCCCGTGAGCCGTAATTATTGTCAAGTGCTTCCAGAACAGATCGGAGGCTGGTCAAATGTGATAACGCGGGCGTAACGTTATTCTGGCAATTACTGAGATGAAACGAATTTTACCATAGAGTAAGGATGCAGAGGAGTAGTCTGTAGGACACGATCAATCATCGGGCAGAACTATCACAGATGAGCTTTTCCTGGAATATTGACCGTGCTGTCACATTGCATCATGCCCAGACCACGATGGCGCTATGAGAGCCTAACAAGAGAGAGACTTGCTTCCAAATTTTATATGCAAGATGAGAGCGTTGGCAATGCACCCGTTGGAAATATCCCCAAGTGGCCGATACATTAGAGGTAGAATTTTAAGGTTGGGCATGCTAGTAGCTCAATATGTTTATGCTTCCAACTTCAGCAAATGCTCTGCAGTCGTCACAGCTACTTTAGAATTTGCGCACTGGTGATTTTCTATGTGGCAATCGTGGTAGTAGTACAGTCGGTTAGGTCAGGATACCATCCAAATGCATTCAACTGTGAAAAAGTATGGAAAATTGGTATCACTTGCATAACTTTTGTTAATGCTCTTTCAATTTAAAGAGCAGGACCACTGGGATTGTTGCACGTCGCGATCCAATTACAACTCGGCCGCCATCTGAAATTCAAAATCAACCGCTGTCATTCTTAAAATAGCATATATACCTCGGTAATAATCTTCGTAGCAGACTTGATAAATTGACTGACAGTACGTAATTTGGGTTACCATTTTATACAAACACGTGGATTGCAATGTGATCCAAGGGCGTTTTCGGCCGCCATCTTGAATTCAAAAAATGGCCCGGCCGTTATTTCTTAAAAATAGCTATAATCTATCTCGTTAATATCTTCGTAGCAGCCTTGGAAAATTGCTGACAAGACCGTTACTTTGGGTACTATTTCATAGAAACAACGTGCATGCTGTGACCCAAGACGCGTTTTTGGCCACCATCCTTGGTCAAAATGGCCACACATAAAAAACTAGCAAACTTAGCAATTTTTCCGTTCACGAATGATGATAGAGACGTGAAAATTTGCAGACTGGCGCACAGGTTAATAAGCTCTTTCATATTAAAACAAGACACACAAGTTACCAATATAATTACAGCGGCCATATTGGAATTCACCATGGCCGCCATCACATTTACTCTGTACTTCAAAATGATAAATGACATAGTATAACAGATGCAAACAAACATGGTGAAAAATGTTGAATTACGAATTTTTTCTCAGTATAATACCAAACCACAATGCCAAACTGGCATCTGAAATCCCCAGTGATGAGAGAAGAGATAATTCAAGAAACAAACAAGTTGTAAGTATACAGTACACAAGACATGCATGGCAACTAATAACTAACTATTGTTTAAGTTAAACAAATGTCCTCGAAACTGCATGTCCCACAGAAGTCGTCAGGCAAGATGGTCACTCAGTGCGGTAACATGTACTCACAAACCCACCAAATAATTATAGTAAGCTTGTATGTACCGTATAGTATCTGTTATGTGCGTGCGTTATCGCGGGCGTATAGGTATTCTGTTATGTGCGTGTCGAGCTCCGCGCGCGTAATCGTAGCTATCTGTTATGTGCGTGCGTGCTTGCGCGCGTATATAGCTCACTGTTATGTGCGTGCGTGCTTGCGCTGCGTATAATAATAGCTAATCTGTTTATGTGCGTGCGTGCCGTTCTCGCGTCGCGTATCAGGAACCTGTTATGTGGCGTGCGTGCTCGCGCGCGTCTATAGCTTAATCTGTTATGTGCGTGGCGTAGCCGTTCCTCGCGGGCGCAATAGCGTATCTGTTATGTGCGTGGCGTGCTCGCGCGCGGTATATAGCTGATCTGTTAGGTGCGTAGCGTCGTTCTCTGCGGGCGTATAGGTACCGTGTTATGTGGCGTGCGTGCTCGCGGGCGTATCCGCTATCTGTTATGTAAGTGCGTTCTCGCGTGCCGTAATAGGTACCTGTATGTGCGTGCGTGCTCTGCGCGCGTATATAGCTTCTGTTATGTTCGTGCCGCGTCTCCGGCGGCATATTAGGTTACCTGTTATGTGCGTGTGTCCTCGCGCGCGTAATAAGGTCCCTGTTATGTGCGTGCGTCTCGCGCGCGCATAATAGCTTCTGCTTATGTGGCGTGGCGT